GGTACCACGAAGAGTACCAAGAAGTCATGACATCATTCTTAACCGCACTCGAAAATCCTGAAAAAAAAAACACTACGAATCAAACACCAAATATTGTGAATTATGGTAGAAAGTGGAATAAGACCCCATCTCAACTCAAAGTTGCCAATGTCGCATGGACATCGGGTGAAGCAGAAGACATTCAAATACAGAAATAGATATAAATTTAGATACAAGACAGAAGAACAATAGCTCAAACAATAAAGAAATGAGAGTAGAAATAAAAAATATGATAGATATTATGAGGTAAAAACTAAAATAAATGAAATACGAAATAATAATCTCCTAGGAAATAAAACCGAAGAATTTACCTCTGATCTGCAGTTATCCAAACGATGTCACGGAAGATGAGTTCAACTTCATTATGGTAGAATTCCTTGTAAACCACAGAGGGGAAATGACCGAAGCGATAAACCACATCATCTAAGTTACAGGGAGTGAAACTGAAAGAAAAGACTGTGTATAGGGAGAACTGAATAAAGAAAAAAAAAAAAAAAATGAACGGGATCAAGAAGATAGAAGATGGCAATTGACGGTGCATTTATATTTTTGAAGATTGTAGTTATCAGGGAAGCAAGAAAACCGAAGGGTGTTCCACAGGTTGGAAGTGCGAGACTGTTGGAGTAGACGTGACGGTTGAATTTAACTATTCAACTGCAAAAGGGTGAGACCTAGATGCCAGTCTAAGTAGCACGCTTACATTCATGTAGTCGAAGCACCAGAGGAAAAATCCTTTCAGTACAGTTGCCTTAAAATATTTATTGACAGAGGGAAGTCACGCTGCGTTGGTGAGAAAGTGACTGAAGTTGAGATGCCAAATCAGGATCGATTACATTGCAGATCCTTCTTTGGATTATGTCAATAACCTAGAGATGAATAGCAGGAGCACCAGACCAGATATGGCAACAGTATTCAATGCACGGAAGAATGGTAGATTTATAAATGTACAAGATGGACTCTGACGAAAAAAAAAATTCAGGCACGAAGCATTGATCCAAATTTTCTTGCAGTAGATACTACTATTGATTCGATGTAGTCGCTTTAAATCAAGTCAGTTGAAAAAGTGAAGCTAAGTAAGGCACAGTGTGTTGCTCTCCAGGAGTCTAGCTTCATCCTTGCTGATGGAAGACAGAAAAAAATCTCTATGGGAGCCATTTCCGGCCTCAGTTAACCACTGATGTGCGGTCCTTTTCAAGAGCAGTTATCAGGTTTACTTTTTAGGAACAGTAGAAGTAGCTCATCATTTTCCAACATCTTTAGCGATGGATCATATACACGACTTCCACTTCACTTAAAGTAAGAAGCCTCTGAGAGTTCCTAGTGAGAATTCAGTGTCAGTCAGTTTTTTTTTCCATTAGGCTCGTTAGGTCCGAGAAGCGGTCAGGTTCTAGGCTATGTTCGTCTAGATTTGCATAGATATGTTGTGTGGTCATAGGGTAACTGTGCAGTTGAGCGTGTGACCAGCTCCCTTCATATGTCTCCTACGAATGTCAATGTCTGCGTCTCTTTGAATAATCTTCCATTTCCACTGTCTGTATCTTCACTTATTCTACAGGATAGCAGCGGAAAGATTGCTGGTTCATATGACCTGCGGATACCATTTTAACATTCCTTTTCTGACGTAGATATGAGGTCTTCCAGTGGGGTTGTTTTATTTTCATTTATTTTTTTGATGGTGGCTTTCACTGCAACATTTTAATGAGGATTACGTAGGAATATACCTTAGAATGGTTCTATAGCATCAATTTTCTAATTCGTAGATTCTTTGCAGTAATTCTGCTAATAGCGTCCAAGATTTTCAGGCGGTTGGGGTTAGGGTTTGGGTCTCCGTTCGCAACAATCTGATCCTTATTTCTCTATCTCCGTTATTATTATTTACATTTTTGTTTTAATCATGTCACCCCAAGCAAGACAATAAAACCACCAATACATAAGTGGTTGCTAAATGTCAGAGAATATAGTAAATATTACTATTAAGAAACGTGAACAATAAAAGCACAAATAGTAAGAAGATTAATATTGCACGGTGGAGTAATGGATAGCGGCTCGGATTGAAGAATGGGAGAGCCGAGTTCGAATTCCAGTCGAATCCACTACATTTACTTACGTGGGAAAGATATAAATCATTTTCTCCCCATCCCCCATCTATTGTTAAATAGCAGGACAGGCCGGGTTCTATAACCTTGGATGGCAACTGGTCTACCGCAGAAAGAAAAGGCAACCTACTGCTGGAAAAAAATCTGCTTCGTCAGTCATGTATCGAAAGATACATGATCGCCTAAGTGTGTATCACGCATGGCACATAACTGAATGACCTGTGGAGTAATGGATAGCGGCTCGGATTGAGGGATCGTAGAGCCGAGTTCAAATTCCGGTCGAATCCATTACAGTCCCATTACCTTGGGAAAGGTATGAATCCTTTTCTTCTTTCCTCAGCTATGGGTAAATAGCAGAACAGACTAGGTTCTATAGATGGCAATTAATCTACCGCAGAAAAATAGCAACCTACTGCGGGAAAAAATCTGCCTCGTCAGACATTTATCGAAAGATACAGTATCGCCTAAGCGTCTGCTACGAATTGCACATAACTGACTGACTGAATATTGCATTTAAATTTTAAAAATCAAAGTTGACTGAGAAGCAACAAGCCAGAAGAAAGTTCCACAAGTGAGAAGTGTGACTGAAGAAACTGTTAGCATAGAACTTACGGTTACATCTAACCATTTCAAGTATAAAATGATGAGACCTAACTGCCAATCTAGTATGGTGCTTAAATTCATGAAGTCTAGGTACCAACGAGGAAAGTTTATCATAAGAATTACGATGAAAGAATTTATATAACAAGGCACTGGGAAGCTACGTTACGACGATGGGAAAATGGCTGAATCTAAGATGGCCGGTTATTTGTGTGAAAACTGAGATCATGCAAGGTCAAAATCGTTACATTCTGATGGATATTCCATTTTTTTGAGAAACCATTGTCAATCATTACCCATCTGTATTTCTATATTAGTTATTGCTATTTACATTATTTACATTCAGACTAATATCCTCATCTTTATTGTTATTATCAAAATATTTTGGCCGTTATTACTTTGGCCTTCTATCGATACATAATAATTTTAGGCAGATGCTCAGAACTTTCCAGATGGTCTTTAGTTTTGGGACAGTTGTCACTTTAATCATGCCAGTAAACGATTTGCAATTGTCCATATTGATTTTTTTGACATCTCATCTGGGCTAAGGATGTCTTACAGACTACTATGTCTCTCTTTGTCGACTCTGTTCTTCCTGGGCGTCCAGAACCTGGTCTACATGTGTATCGTTATTAATTTTACCGCGTGGATACCATAGAATAACCACCGATGTGTCCCTTCCATTCTAATAAATAAACATCCTGCATCTTGGAGACTAAGCATACCACCACTTTTCCAACGGCACCAATTAAGCAAAAGTTCCAAGTGTGTGCCTCTATGGAATGGCAACTGCTTGCATTAGATTCTGCCATTCACCGAAACTTATCGTAGCATATAGAATTCACTAAATTTCAGACAAATATAGTGCACTAGTAAGTGTTTTATGGCAACGCAAGTTGATAGATCTCGTGATAACTTGTGTCTTAGTGGCTTTAGTGCCTTGAATGAGGTGAATTCGATTAAAAAATATTTACATTTATCCACTTCATTTGTAATTTAGTATATTTACATCAACATTGGTCTTTCTGCACAGATAAGAACACGTATGTCATCAGACATACATCTGGACACATGATAGGTACATTATACAATACATCTGGAACACATTATACATACATCCGTACACTTGATAGGCACATTGTACAATACATCTGGAACACATTATACATGCATCTGGACACTTGCTAGGCACATTGTACAATACATCTGGAACATATTATACATACATCTGGACACTTGCTAGGCACATTGTACAATACATCTGGACACTTGCTAGGCACATTGTACAATACATCTGGAACATATTATACATACATCTGGACACTTGGCACATTATACACCTGTCTGAAGAATTCGAATACCGCTTGGTGTCACATTTGTTTAGGTTTTACGAGAGTTAGTTCATCTTATATTTATTTATATTACCATATTCTATATGTTTTTCTACAAGCAACAGACATTTTACCTATGTATGTCCATCGATAGAACGACAGCAAGCCATATATATATATATATATATATATATATGAAATTGGGGTGCGTCTTATACACCTGTGCGTCTTATATGTCGTTAAATACGGTACATTTCTTAAAATTTTTGAGTCTGTGGGAAAATGAAATAAAACCGATAATAAAATAATAATAAAGAATAAAAATAAGTAAATTTATTTTCCCATGATTAAAGAAACCAGAAACATTTTACTGATCACATGTAGAATTTAATGGCTCTACTTTTTGAAAAGACAGACGATTTCTCTTTCCACTTTCCAACGAGATCGTGCAGACGTGTTTTTAACAGTCCTACTCATGAAGTAGAGATTCGGCCATCCCAACTCAGCGCGAGGCTGACTTGACCTCATCTGTCTTTACTCGTTTCTTAACCTTACTTCCCATTAATCATTTCTCAACCAAAAAGCAAAACGGACAAACTCAAGAGAACTTTCAACTTTGTTGCAATACCGTCAGCATAGAAGAAATAAGCGTCCGCTATCCTTCTTCTATCTTCTTTGTTTATATATGTTGCAACCTAGAATGGATTACTGAATGAGGGATAACCAAAACAGAGGTTGGAAATGAAATGGTAATCTTTATAACATCAACAAAATACAATACTCGCCAGCGACGTCAAGTAGGTAAACCACAGTGGAGGACGACAAAGACAGCATATTACCCCCACTTACATTAGTGTCCGACGTATTTATGAGAGTTGGCACATACCCATTAGTGTTCATAGGTACGGTATATAACACTATCTATCTTATCAAGGTCATTATCTATCTATCTATCTATCTATCTATCTATCTATCTATCTATCTGCTGTAGCCTCAAAGGGTTACTGAATGAGAGATAACCAAAACAGAGGTTGGAAATGAAATGGTGATCTTTATAACATCAACAGAATACAATACTCGCCAGCGACGTCAAGTAGGTAAACCACTGCTAGTGGTGGACTACTACAGACTGCATATTACCTAACGCACCCCCCCACACACACTTACAATAATGTCGAACATGGTTATGAGGATTGGGACATACCCATTCGTGTTCATAGGTACGGTATATAACAGTTTGTATTGCAACAGTATCTATCTATCTATCTATCTATCTATCTATTGTAACCAGAAGGGTTACTGAATGAAGAATAAACAAAACGGAGGTTGGAAATGAAATGGTAATCTTTATAACATCAGCAAGATACAATACTCGCCAGCTAGCGAAGTAGGTAAACCACTGCTTGTGGTATATTAGCACCATATATTAATCACGCACTTTCACCTAATATCACCTAAAATTACACACAAAACCCACAACCTTGTTAACTTCTACAATTACACCTGATTAAATAATACAATACCTGTGCCGTCAAAGATGGCGGCATTTGTTAGAAAGTTTTAATACTGATTTGCCACAAAGGTTTTGAAACAAATTGAAGTTGAATGGAGTTGTAAAATTCACAATTTAAATAGAGAAGTTACGAAGGGAAGTGACGATTCATAAATTTACTGCATTAACTTAAACTTAAACATAATTTAGCTTCTTTCCCAGTATAAGGCGTAATACGAAAAATATAATTATCATAGCTGATGCTAACATCTTGAGCCTTCTCAGCTGACAGTAAGTAGAAAGGCTATATTAAATCCATTGTCTGGGCAACTGCTAAGAAAGTTGGTCCACTATGCTGTGCGAGATAATTTTTCTCTCCAGAATCTCTTTTATCTATAAGTCTACCATTCGCCCGTGCTTATAATATTGCTACCTTATATGGTCCTGTGTCCCTATTTATCTTGAGCTCCTTGATAAAATCCAAATGAACGATATTGTTGGTCCCGATCAGGCGGCTCGGATTCAGTCACTTTTCCACATTCTATAAATACTTTCATGGTAATTGTTCTGATGTGATCTTCGCTGTGGTACCCTAGACTTTTTGAATTCAAGCGCAGTACTAGACTGGCGTCGAGATCCGATCAATGTACAGTTGAGCCAGCTCGATGTAACCGTAAATTCTGTGCTGGCAGTTTCTTTTCTCGCACTTCTCGCTTGTGGAACTCTCTTCCGGCTCAATGCTTTACACCCTACTTTAATCTGAAAAAAAAATTTAAATGCAATGTCTATCGCTATCTACTCTCCTCCTGATGACTCTTTCCTCTTCCCGCTTATTATTAATGTTTCTGTTCCTAATTCTTCCACACCCTGTAATTCCTTGTGTCTTAGTGGCTTTACTGCCTTGCATGAGGAGATATCGATTAAAAAAAATAAAAATAAAAAACAATAAAAAAAATAACGAAATAAATAGACAACGTTAATTATTTATAGTGTTGATTACAACCACCCACCAAACAACAAAAAACAAAAAAACAAAAAAAAAAAACTAATATAGTCAAAATGAAATTATGAATTAAAGAAAACTTAAGAACTTGGTTTGAACGCTGTTAACCGAAAAGGCAAAAATTGAGAGCACGGATAAGGTGGCAGATATTTTTCAAATATATATATATATATATATATATATATATATATATATATATATATATATATATATAAAGAAAGTACAGTAAGATATATAATCCGGTGTTCTTATAGATATTTTTTATTTTTACAAAATAGTGCTCAATGTAAATTTACAGTTTATTAATATTATAAATTAACTGATTTAAAATGTTTTTTTCACTACACAGTTCTAACCATGTTTCAAAAATGGAAGCTAAAAGCTTCGAATTTAATTTTGTAATTAAATTAAAGACATTAGCTCCATTTCATCCTCAAGCGAATTTTGGAATAACTTATTTTTTAAATTTACTGGGTTTTAAAGGCACGGCAAAAATCATAATTTACAGTTTCCAAGGATACAGAGAAATCCATTCATCCAGACAAGGTGTGGTTGCGTGTTCATTTTCATTAACTTTTATTGTAGCAATTATTAGTTACGTTTGAAGAAGTGTTTTCGTTTAGGTAGGGGGTAGGGATGTATTTTTCAACGAATTCTGACATCCGTTAAATGCATGTCGTCTGGATTTTTTAAAAATTTATTGTTAACGGCAAAAATTCTTACGGCATTTTTTCTATTTGTATACTTAAAGATTTTGGGGGTATGTCTAGGTTAGAATACGTCTTATTTAAAATATTTTCCCTTTTAAATTTTTAAATAATTTGAAATATTTTCACTTTTAATTTTTAAAACAAGTAATTGCATTAGAATTACTTACAGTATGTAAAATTATTTTTTCATATCAAGTATAAGTATATATATTACCAGGTCACATTTTTTTAAAAATTTTATATTTAAATATTATTTAAGTAAAATTTATGATAATGACGGCAAAAAATAGCTAATCTATTTCTCTGATTTAGTACACTTTAATTTTTTTATAAACTTAGCAATATATAATTTCTTGCATCTACAATGGACATGGCCTACATATTCTTGCTTTTCATATTAATTTCATTTTACTTTATTTTATATATATATATATATATATATATATATATATATATATATATATATATATATATAGGGTGTTTCAATAACTTGGGCCGATTTTAAATGTGAATTAATGTCTAGTGATTTTTTTCTTTTTCTTTCAGATTAAACAACTTAAGTCTTTTGCAATTTCAATCATGGAAAAATTGACAATCAAACAACGTGTTAAATTTATCAAAACCTATTATGAAAATGGACGTTCAAACAGAAATACATTTCGCGATTTTTTTGGTCAACATAATCGACCAAGCGAGATTGCAATTGGAAACGAGGTAACGTTGTTGTGAAGAGGTTCAGTTCCTGCGGGCGATGATGAATAGAGGTGTCTGGATTTTCGGCCACATTCTCGTGCATTGCAGCAATGTTTTCAACTGAACAGCGTAAATGAGCATGCAATGGTGTTTTCACATCTGCCACCGACACAGTTTGGTTGAAATTACGAATAATTTTTCTAATTGTTCTTTTGAAACTTTAACACGCTGTTTGATTCTTAATCTTTTCATGGTTAACCAAACTTTCGAATGTGCTTGAAACAAATAAAAAATTTAATAAAAAATACTTTTGTCTTTTCATTTAATGGCATAAGCATTTTGATGGCAAAACTTTGTTTTTATCAACTTTGGTGTTTTTTATTTTGCCCTTTTTTTAACAAGTCTTTGGATGTAACAGATATTTAGCTATGTATGAAAACCCAGAGGTAATAAATTTTCAATTGGCCATATTCGGATGTATAACCCAAATTAGCCCAGGCTAAAAATTCGAAAGTAAACCATCAATCCGGTTGGGAATATATACATCTACCTTGACAAAATAGGTGCAGGGTGTCAGTTTCAAACTTTGTTGTAATACAATATTGGTGTCCTATTTATCAATATATGTGATATATTATAATGTATATGATAGATATAGCTTGGAGATTTGAGTTAAAGGGAGATAACTGATACTGAGACACCCGGAAGAGGCATGGCACGTGGAACTAGAACAATCTATCCCGATGGACGAAATAAAAGGTTCAGTTAGAAATTCCCAATCACCTAAAGAAAACTGGGGCGTACAACGGCCGAAACGTTGTGAATGTGGCAACAAAGATGAGGACAACAGTCCGAACAATGTAAATAATGCAAATAATTACAATACCTCATCTCAGAAATATAGACAGAGGATGATAAATGAAAGGAAAATTAAGTAGAATATTAAAATATTTAACCTCTGAAAGATTTTATAAAAACAAAGATGTCTGCTTTGAGGATGATGTACAGGATGACCCCAAAAAACGGGGAATTTTTGAAGTGCCTATTGCCAGACATGAGCAAGTGGCAACACTGCGAGACAGTGACCTTGAGGAAGTAAGCATTTCGCCATTTAGAATTCAAGATGAAATTCACAGTATCCCAGCTGAGATGTTGCAGCAGTCAATGAGGAATCTCAACAGCAGATTTCAAGAATGCATTCGTACAGGAGGACGCCATCTACAGGACGTAATTTAAAAAAAATTAAAATTACATCATTGTTTTTTATATGGCATGTTTTAAGGTTTCAATTATTATGAATAAAATATTTTTTTCCATCACTCTTGGTTTTATTGAATTGTTAAAAGTTCCTGTTTTTTTGGGTCACGCTATATAAGTTTATATTATGTAGTTTTTAGAAATATTTACAATTCTTATAATGCAACTCAAAGGAGACAATTGATTCCATAGAATCTTTCTAGTTACTTGGTAGGCAGGCAGTCAGAAAACAGGCCTCTAAGACTATTAGTAAATACTTACATTTTCAGCATGCTAGAAATACATAAGAATTTGAAGTCAATACTTTACTTATGAAAAAAGAAACATAAAGCAACATTTAAGCTGGTTATTTTTGATTTTTATTAAACACCATTGTAGTGATTACTACTATGTTTGCCACGCCTACATTTTTCTCAACTGTGATTGGTCAAATAATAAATACTAACTATCACAGGACAATTTACTGATCGCATTCACCACACTGAATTTGTCATACCGTTAACTCACAAACATGCTTTTGTTATAAAATCGCCGATTGGTTAATTTTTCATCCAATTAGATATTTTTCGTGTTCTTTCAAAATTTATCCCGCGTTCGTGCTGGGAGCCTACCGGTAATAATATAAGTCCGGATTCATTCCCAAATTAAACAGTAGAGTTGAAAACAGTAGAGTTGAAGAGAGTTGAAGACAGTAGAAGACAGTAGAACTCAACGACTCACACACGTCTACACAGATTATTCATTCTACTCAAAATCCCGCACACACACAGACACAGAACTTGAATATCATTCACCATCAGTTCTATGTGAACAAAGCCAGTTTGCAACAACTCTGTTAGTTATACAAAATATACAATTGAACTTACTGTATGTTCTTCTGAATACACATTTTATTTCAATACAGAACTTTGAACATTCTATTCAGAAAACTTATTTAATTGCATTTCCTAATTCAACTAACAGATAAAGGAAACTTTTTTTTCTTCTTATTTAACACATTGGAATAAAAAATTGCTTTGTATTTGTTGATTTTAATATATATTTTATCGTTGAAACACAAATTGGTTTTCCATTGTTTTTTCTTGATAAAAAAAAAAATGTATAAATGTTAAATCCTCTTCAACACGC